AGCAAACAATTTAGTCTAATGAAGAAACGTCAAATAAACCCCAAACTGAGGGACATTCTATAAAATAACCAGTCTGTACTTTTAATGAAAGAAAAAGACTGAGGAACTATTTCAAATGAGAGAGTAGACATGACAACTAAGTGCAGCATGTGATCCCAGATTGGATCCTGACCTAGAAATTTATTTCTCCTTTTCCATAAAAGGCAATACTCAGACCATTGACACAATTTGAATATCTGTACACAGTAGCATTGTATCAATGTTAATTTCATAATTTCCATAAGTGCACTATAGTTTTGTAAGAAAATATCTTTGTTTTTAGGAAATACATATTGAAAATTATTTCAAGGTAAAGGGGCTACATGTCTGCAAATTACTCTCAAATATTTCAGAAAAAGAATGACATGTTTATAGCAAGAAGAATGATAAAGCAAATATGTTAACATGTTAGCTTTGGGGAAATCTCGGTGAATGATGTACAATAATTCTCTGTAGTATTTTTGTAACTTTTAGATATGTCTGAAATTATTTTAAAATAAAAAAGAATTTGGTGGAATGAAGAGGGGGAGGGTAAACCAGGCAGGTCTGCCTCTATGTCCTAGGAGGCCAGATTTGAAGTCCAAGTTGAGGGAGTTGCCCTGCCAAAGCTGATGCAGGGACTTCTGGTGGGGTGGGGGTTGCAGGTAGGGGAGGAGGCTCTTAGGAACCAGGGTTGCTTTGGGGTCTGATAGTTAGTGTGACCCAGAGTTTGTGAAGGATTGCAATCTCTCCTTAGCCCAGTTGCCTTTATCTCTGTTAATGGTGTTGGTGTGTCACCAGGCTATGTTTTTCTATTTTTTCTGCACATACATGTGTAAGGAATACTTGTAAGTTCATTGGAATAATGAACTCTAAGACTGAGGCAGGAGGAAAATGACCTGGGTTAAGGCAAGGAATGTAGGCTGAGGAAAGCTCTCACTAGGGACGTTTGCAAGAATTACGAGCCTCCCTGGACATGAGAGCAACTGCCACAGAAAATGATTTACATATTTTAAAAAAAAATTTTGTGTTTTAATGTTTGGCGAAAGGAAGTCTGACTTCACTGTCCTAGGGGGCCAGAATGAAAATGTAACTTCTCTCCCAACTCATTTTATTCATCATTGCCCAAGGGAAGGGAAGAGCTTTTCCGCTGCAAAGAGACAGTAGTTTGGAGACCATATTTGTAGGAGAAAGGAAAATGTAGGGGGGTGTGAATTCTGACAAAGCAATAAAAATTGGGGGATGGCATCAATTCTTGGTGCAGGACATAAAAGTGGGAGGAGATGGGGAGGAAAAGAAAGATGAGAAGGACCTGAAAATCTTACAAGAGATCTCTTCCTTGATGCAATCCTGCTCTTAGCAGAGAAGGAATTCTCGTAAAATGTAGCTATTGTTAAACATAGAGTAAGCATTCTTGAAATTTGGCATTTGTTTTCTTCTGCAGCAGGCTTAGGAAACAAGAAACAATGCTTAGTTGGCTGCTGTCCTGTAAAAAGAAAAAAAAAATGCTTAGTGGAAATTAAACAAATTAATAGAAGCAAGTGCAGATGGGCATCATGCTGAAAAGAAGGAAAAAAGTAAATTGCCCTCGTTCCTATTCCATTCCCTCTAACACTCTGTGCTTTCCAATCAGCAATTTGAATTGTGTTATTACTGCAAAGATGGACTCTATATCCTAACAGAAGATTTTACAAGGAGTAAAAATATATGAACACATTTAATAAATTGACTTGGTCATTCCTTCAAGCAAATGTTTGGTCCTTCTGGATCATGTAAAAAGATAAAAAAGGAAAGAAAAAAGACCTAGGTAATTATGTGTGGACTAGATTTCTGCTTGGAGGGTGGATAGGAAGCAAAGCAGGTAGAGGAGAAATGAGATTAGAGACAGCGGGGGTGGGGGAGCTGGGGAGAGAGAGCATGGGGAGAAATGCCAGATATAGGTGAGGGGGAGGAAGGCAGCAAATCACAGTGCCACGTGTGTACCTAGGCAACAATCTTGCATGTTCTTCATATGTACCCCAAAACCTAAAATGCAATTAAAAAAAAAAGAACAATTAAAATGAGCTCAAACAAAAGCCTGGTTGAACTATTGAGAGTTTTTGAGGTTTTATCAAATGTGGAAACCATTTTTAATACCTTTAAACCATAGAGGATTTGTTGTACAGATTATGACATGTCCTTATAATGGAATGCTATGCAGTTTTTCTCAAGGATGAGTTACTTTTCTACGTGTTGACTTGGAAAGATATCCAAAATAGAATATTGAGTTAGTTATAGTTGTTTTTTTCTTTTTTCTTTCCTTTTTTTTTTCTGAGACGGAGTCTTGCTCTGTCACCCAGGCTAGAGTGTAGTGGCGCGATTTCGGCTCACTGCAACCTCTGCCTCCTGGGTTCAAGCAATTCTCCTGCCTTAGCCTACCAAGTAGCTGGGATTACAGGCACATACCACCACGCACAGCTAATTTTCGTATTTTTAGTAGAGACGGGGTTTCACCATATTGACCAGGATGGTCTTGAACTCTTGACCTTGTTATCTGCCATCCTCAGCCTCCCAAAGTGCTGGGATTACAGGCGTGAGCCACTGCACCCAGCCCGAGTTAGTTCTAGTTTTTAAGGAAATAACATATAATGCATAAAAAAATTTTAAAAACCTGAAAGCACAAATACCAAATTGCTAACAATATTTATGTCAGGGTAGGAATGAAGATTGTAGAAAGATTTTCTGTTCAGATGTCCCACACTTTCATATTCTTAAAATAAATTAGCCAGGCCTGGTGGTGCATGCCTGTAATGCCAGCTACTCAGGAGGCTGAGGCAGGAGAATCACTTGAACCTGGGAAGCAGAGGTTGCAGTGAGCTGAGATGGAGCCACTACACTCCAGCCTGGGTGACAAAGTTAGCAGAGTGAGAGTCTCTCTCTCTCTCTCTCTCTCTCTCTCTCTCTCTGTGTGTGTGTGTGTGTGTGTGTGTGTGTGTATTTTTTAAATTAATGTGGTTTTTTTTTATAATCAGAAAAAAATGAAGCTATTGGTGCTCCGAAAAAGAAGCAATTGTCAGTGGCAATATTTTTGAAAAAGCAGAGGAAAAAGGGATTTGGTTGTAGAATATGATTATAAATCAGGCTAAATAGAAGTAGAAAATATCAGCATTCATTAGAAAACTGAGGAAAAAGTGCTCCAACAGAGCCAGCCCATCCAGATAAGACATATGGGATCTGGCTATAAATTGTTAGTGTGTGTTTTTATCATCTACCATGGACCTCCCTCCTCAAAGATGCACAATTTGAACACCCAGCTATGCCTTATTCATTTTTGTATCTCCCTCTAAAGTACATGCCCATGGTAGATGTTCAGTAAATGATGGTAGATCAAGCTCGGAAGACTAAGTATGAGTGGGTTAATATAGGAGAAAAAAGAGTAAGCTATGAATAAGTAACATTACTTTCAGAGGGCTTAAACTTACTGTAGTAAAATATTGGAGAGGAAAAACTGTGAAATAGGAGGATGAGAAAATATTCTCTGGCACCTGCTTAAGCATGTTTGTTTTTCCATCCTTCAGATTTTCTTAGACTTAATTTACGTTTTCTCAGTTATAACTTTTCTCTTGTATCCAGTTGGGCGTTTCAAGCCATCTGCCATGACGATCAAATCCTTGGAACATGTTTTGGCCTCCTTGTTCCTTCTGCCCTTGCCTTTGTTTACTCTGTCACCACACTGACTCCTACACAGACTCCAGTGTGGGCTCTGTCCTTCCAGCATTGAACTGTGCCCTGCATTCTCTTTCCAGATCTCCTTTTCCACTGAAGACATATGGAGGGATATCTTGATTCCATTTTGACTGTGCCTTTTCTAGGTTCGTATCTCTTGATGGAAACACAGCATCTCTTCTGAGCCATGGGTACAATGTATAAACATCCATGGAAATCAAGTGTTTGTGCTGAGAGTGCAAATAGCTTATTGTCCATGGTTCTGATCTCTTGGCCCCATGGGTCATGGTAGGAACCTGGTGAAGTCTATGTACTCTCTTCCCAGAAAAGTGTGCCCACTTGAAAAACTGTGTGAACAATTCGAGGGAGTTCACAGGCCATCCTGGAGCCCATTGATACCCCGAAGATTATGTATCCCTGCATCCCTGGAACTTACGCATATTGTATGTTAGGATCGATAAAAAGGAGGAGTTCACTGGAACCAGAATGCAGCTAGAATACACTGGAACTAGAACGCAACTAAGTGCAAAAAACCAGGCTGGGCACAGTGGCTCATGCCTGTAATCCCAGCACTTTGGGAGGTTGAGGCCGGCAGATCACCTGAGGTCAGGAGTTTGAGACCAGCCTGGCCAATATGGTGAAACCCTATCTCTTCTAAAAATAAATAAATTAATAAATACAAAAATTAGCCAGATGTGGTGGCAGGCACCTGTAATCCCAGCTACTAGGGAAGCTAAGTCAGCAGAATTGCTTGAATCTGGGAGGCGGAGGTTGCAGTGAGCCGAGATGGCACCACTGCACTCCAGCCTGGGTGACAGAACGAGACTCTGTCTCAAATAACAACAAAAAAAACATATTTCTAGCATCATCTTCATACTTCAGACACACTGGAGACACAACAAATGGAAGATAAAGCCAGACAGGAGTGTTACAGTTACCATGATAACATTACAACTGGAAGGAGTTGTTTGATAATACAGCTTATAGCCTATAGATACACAGCCAGTTGAATTGTACACTGTTTTGGGTGTGTCTTAAATATTTGGGAACAAGTCATTTCGGTTTAGGGGTGTGTTTGTGTTTGTGTGTGAGAAAGAGAACAATATGAGTGTCAGTGTATATTTTAAACAGTTCACAGAACTTAAATCTTAAAATGTCTATCTAAAGAAAAATAAAGGATTTCATCTCCAAATATGTTTATATTTGTAATATGTATATGCCTTTGTTCCTTTTGGCATTATGGACACTAACATTTTAATGTTGCTGGTCCTTTCCAGGGTGGACGAGCTTCATTTACACCATATCTGGAGATGTGTGTATTGGTAAGTTATGGCTATGTCACTTAGGACTCAATTGCAATTTAATTTAAACTACTAAAGGCAGAAAAGGTAGAATGACACCATTTTATGTAATTGAATACTATGCCACCTTCTCTCCTATACTAGCCATCTCTATATCCCAGCACATGTATGCCCAGGGCAAGGTGCCTCTCAGCTTACAGAATGTTCAGTGAGGGAACACAGCCGGTACACAGAGGAAAGTCCAGGCACCATTATGTGTTTTGATACCTTGCTAGGACGTTGGCAACCTTCATACTGACAAAGGGATGGAGCTACAATGGGCTCCAAGGGGAGCAGGAATCTGCCTATCTCTTGGGAGGAGGAAGTGGACGGAGATGAATTTGCAATGCTATTTTGCTCTGAGAAATCTCAAAAGTGTTTTTTTTTTCTGTTCTTCCAAGGGTTATATATGTGTTGCTTGAGTCTAATCAAGAAAATATGTTTGAGACCCAACCAATGCTCATTTTATAGATGAAGAATGTGAAATCTAAAGAAAGTTGTTTAACTTGCCAGGGTTACACATTGGTAGATGTGCGCCAGAACTAACGTCTTCTCAATCCTGCTCTCCACGCTCCACCCCATACCCTTTGTCCAATGACAATGCAGAGATAGCACCATCTAACTTGTCTTTTCAAGTCTAAATCCCTTAGCCAACCCAGCAGCAGAAGCAACAGAGCGAGTGGGAGAGATGGGCTTGCAGAGCAGCCTGGCTCCTGCCTGCATCTATTCCTCCCCTTCCCATCCTCCGAAAAGCAGCCATGGGTTCCAGTAAAAGGCTCTCTGAAGGATTAGGAGAAAACAGCTATAGCAGATGCTGTTGGTATCCCACCCACACCCCTGGGCCCTTACTTCCTGAGTGCCCATTGACCAACTAACAACAGCCAGAATCTGTACCACTTTGCCTGAAGGCTTTTCTCTGAAACCAATCAGGGCAAGGTGAAAGTACTGGAAAATTAACATTCCCAGAAGCTACCTGACCCCTCAAGCACCATAACTCTGAAGCCTGTGTGAAAGGCCATTTACTAGTTGCTCAGTGTAAAAGTACTGGAGAATTAGCATTCCCAAAAGCTACCTGACCCATCAGGCAGGATAGCTCTGAAGCCTGTGTGAAAGGCTATTTACATACAGTCGAGCCACCTGAGTGTGTTTGGTGACACATGCTTCATTGTCTGACTTCCCTTTTCTGTCTAACTCTCCTGACTCTGGACTGTTGTATCCTGAGATCACCTCCCAGATAAATTCCTTGTACCAGAATATGCATCTCCAGTTATACTTCTGAGAAAACCCAGTTAGAGAACCAGCCTCCCATTTTCCCCTCCTCATCCCCATAGACAATTATGGGTGGTGTGGATGGGGTGGAGCATCCCAAGGTACAGACTGGCCAAGATTTCCCATTTCTGAGACCCTCTGCAGTTTGGGTGCTCTCCACCCACTCCTGCAGGGATGCCAGCACTGAACTTCCTGGGGGTCTAACATGGCCACCTCTTTGGGCAGTACACTCTGAGCTCCAGGCAGCTGGCTTACAGATAATATCTACTCAAGGATAGAAGGCCACACCCAGAGCTGTTTAAACCATTCTTATATTCTCCAAAAGGGTGTACAATTGCCTGAAATTATTCTTCTGGAAAATAATGGTAATATAAACTCATGTATTTTGAATTTATTCCCAGTACAGTACAAATGGACTTAGTTCCCTTTTCAGTGAATAGCATTTCAATCAGGGGTCAGGAGCAAAATTCATTTATTTTGGCACTGGAGAAAGTGTGGAAAAAAAAAAGTCTTGTAGTAGTATCATAAGTTTATATGTACACACCTTAAACTATATTAACCATCTGGAATAGATGAGACATCATTTGTTTTTATAATCTCCTGAAAATCCTGAGAAACACATGGTGCTTTATAAAAATAGAAAAAAAAACCACATTTTTATGGAGGCAGCGCTCCTGATTTATGATTTCAAGAGCAAAAAAATAATCTGCACAAATGGAAATAAAGCAAGCACATGAATTTTAAGGTGGTAATGATACCAGAAATGTTTGTGTAGAGTGAGAAAAAGCAGGGAGAAGCAAACTTTCTGTAAAAGGCCGGATAGCAAATATTTTCATCTTTATAAGGCATATAGTCTCAGTTGCAACTACTTGGCCTTGCCCATGTAGCACAGAAGCAGCCACAGATGATACATAAACAGATTGGGTGGCTATTCCAATAAAACTTCATTGATGGTCACTGAAAGGTAAATTTCATATATTTTTCATATGTCATGAAAGACTTTTAGTTTGTTTCAACCATTTATAAAAGTGAAAGCCTGTGAGCACTACAAAAGGTAACAGGTGATTTTGGTTTAAATGACATTGTAGAGAATGAAGGGGAAAGAAATTAACAAGTAATTGTCTAAACCTGTTTTAAGCAGTAGTTTTACAGCCTTGTTTCCTGATAGACCTTTAGCCTGAAAAGTTAACAAGTGAAATGCTCTGCGAATCTCAGGGTAAGAATGACCCACACATCCACTTGTTTTTCTTGAGATGAGGCAGGATTTTCCTGAGTAATCTCTATTTACTGACCTGCTCCCCCCTCGTGACCATGGGCCACGGTGCAAAACATCTGGCAGGGGATGGGTCTGTAGCCTTGGAGCAAAGTTGCATCTGTGCAGAATAAACTGGATCGTGAAGAGAATCCAGCTCACAAAACTGTCCTCTTGGGACTCTGCTTTAACCAGTGAGTGGCTGGCTAAATGACCTCATTTGAATTTTATCTCCTTCCCTTCCTCCTACCAACACCTTAATGGGGGGCAGTTAATGAGAAAAACAAAAGGGCAAGAATAAATCATCAGAGAAAAAGAAATGATGAAACAGAAATAGCTATTGAACATGTACTGACTTATAAAATCAATAAAGAAAATCCAGAAAATGCTTTCTGACTTTACTGCCTCAATTTTATCTTGCTTATAAAACTAGGTTGGCACCAACAAACCACAGATGGCAGGAAGTGATAAGCAAGGAATTGTCTTTTTCAAAATGTCAAACATGTTCAGTTGAAGTAGATGTAATGAATATATATACTTAGTGCATTGGGCTGGAATAAATGGGCTGCAACTTGGTTTGGGGAAATAATCTGGGGAGACTGCATAAAACGGAAACTTAGGAGTTAATATTGGTTATTAGGAAATTTAGGAGTTATATTAGTTAATTGTTAAATTTTTAGCTTATTACAGGAAGTGCTTAAAAGACATTGGTAAATTTAGTTTAACTACAAACAGGTGAAGTTTTGAATGTTAGAAAATGCCGGACAACTGGGCATGGTGTTTCATACCTGTAATCCCGGCACTTTGAGAGGCTGAGGCAGGCAGATCACTTGAAGCTGTGAGTTTGCGACCAGCCTGGCCAACATGGTGAAACCCCATCTCCAATAAAAATAGAAAAATTAGCTGAGTGTGGTGGTGTGCACCTATAGTACCAGCTACATGGAGGCTGAGGCAGGAGAATCGCTTGAACCTGGAAGACAGAGGTTGCAGTGATCCGAGATTGAGCCACTGCACTCCAGTCTGGGCAACAGAGCAGAACTCTGTCTTAATCAAAAAAAAAAAAAAAAAAGGGGGGAGGAAAAAACGAAAATGCTGGATGTCTAACTAGTTGTCAAAGTAACTTAGTCATTTACACAACAAGTTAAGTATTGTGAAGCTATGTAATTTTCCTCTAATGACACCCCGGAGAAACAGAGTTAACAGAGCTAAAATAAGACTGGTAGAATTCTCATTTTCTTATTCAAAGAAAGTATTCATTTGAGACTCATCTGAATGTACTCTTCATTCTTTTCAAGGATTTTCTTACTTTTTAATATATTTGCTTTTTCCAACAATGAAGAGCCTTCTAAACTGACTATTGAATAGTAATTTTTAAAAGTGTGCAATAAAGGGAGAGACCTTTGACAATGATCTTTTGCTGAGGCAAAAAGTTCTTTGACCAGCCCACAGCTGGAATCTGTGCATCATATGATAAAGAAATCAAAAGAAAATGAAAACTACATGGTCAGAAAAACAGCAGATCCTGCAGATACTGGTACCAAATCTCTTCCCTGCAGCTGTGCTGAAAATTACTTTACACATTAATGCAGAGATCAGAAGGATAGAAAAGTTTACATCCTGTAACCCTGAAGCTTGGTACAGTTTATCAGCTTGAATTCCAGTCCCCTAGAAAGCCTGATATCAAGTATACTATTGGTACTTAGAAAGTATTTAGAAATCAGCCAGGTGCAGTGGCTCACACCTGTAATCACAACACTTTGGGAGGCCTAGGCAAGTGGATCGCCTGTTGGGAGTTCAAGACCAGCCTGACCAACATGGAGAAACCCTGTCTCTACTAAAAATACAAAATTAGCTGGGCATGATGGCGTATGCCTGTAATCCCAGCTACGCAGGAAGCTGAGGCAGGAAAATGGCTTGAACCTAGGAGGCAGAGTTTGCGGTGAGCCAAGATCGTGCCATTGCCCTCCAGCCTGGACAACAAGAGCAAAACTCTGTCTCAAAAAAAAAAAATTGTTTTTAGAAATATAAAAACATTTGTTTGTGGTTATTGAAATGAGCAAGCTTACAAAGGCAGTAAAATGTTTTGAATTTATTTAAATAGTTCATGCTTAGTTTGTGCTCAACCTTTTGAGCACAAACTTCTGTGCTCTGGTTTTAGGTGGTATTAAGCAGTTTGAAATGATCTCTGTATCTTGCAGTAAAGGCAGGGAAACACAAATATACACCAGCAGGCCTCATAATTGACCTCCATTTATCCAACTAACTGGATTGCTTAGTGCTCTTCATTTTATGGTGAATACTTTGAGGAAGGTGCTTGCTTGGACACCCAGGATGATCCTCCCTAGTCTGCCTGCCCATAGCTGCTCCCATCAGCTGAGTTGCAGTGGACTTAAAGGCACCTACGTTTGTTCTCAGTCCATTTATGCCAGTTGCACCAATAATTGAAATTATACAATTTAAT